ATAAAAGACCCAGAATTGCCAAAGCAATGCTGAAGAAAAAAAACAAAGCAGGAGACATAGCCATCCCAGACCTCAGACAGTATACAAAGCTACAGTAATCAAAACAGTGTGGTACTGGTACAGAAACAGACATATGGACCAATGGAACAGAATGGAGAGCACAAAAATAAACCCACACACCTATGGTCAATGAATCTTTGGCAAGGGAGGCAAGAATACACAATAGGAAAAAGACAGTCTCTTCAGCAAGTGGTGTTGGGAAAGTTGAACAGCTGCATGTAAATCAATGAAGTTAACACACCCTCTCACCATACACAAAAATAAACTCAAAATGGCTTAAAGACTTAAACATAAGACATGACTCCATAAAACTCCTAGAAGAGAACACAGGCAAAACATTCTCTGACATAAATTGTACCAATGTTTTCTTAGGTCAGTCTCCCAAAGCAATAGAAATAAAAACAAAAATAAACAAATGGGACCTAATCAAATTTACAAGCTTTTGCACAGCAAAGGAAACCACAAACAAAATGAAGACAACTCACAGAATAGGAGAAAATATTTGCAAATGATGCGACTGACAAGGGCTTAATTTCCAAAATATACAAACAGCTTATACAACTCAACAACGAAAAAACAAACCACCCAGGCTTCCCTGGTGGCACAGTGGTTGAGAGTCCACCTGCCGATGCAGGGGACACGGGTTCGTGCCCCGGTCCAGGAGGATCCCGCATGCCACGGAGTGGCTGGGCCCATGAGCCATGGCCGCTGAGCCTGCGCGTCTGGAGTCTGTGCTCCGCAACGGGAGAGGCCACAACAGTGAGAGGTCCGCATACCACAAAAAAAAAACACAAAAAAAACAAACCACCCAACTGAAAAATGGGAAGAAGACCTAAAGAGACATTTCTCCAAAGAAGAAATACAAATGGCCAATAGGCACATGAAAAGATGCTTCACATCACTAATTATTAGAGAACTTCAAATCAAAACTACAATGAAGTACCACCTCATGCTGGTCAGAATGCCCATCATTAAACAAATAATAAATGTTGGAGAGGGTGTGGAGAAAAGGGAACCCTCCTACACTGTTCGTGGGAGTGTAAAGTTTGTGCAGCCACTGTGGAAAACAGTATGGAGGTTCCTCAGAGAACAAAAATAGGGCTTCCCTGGTGGTGCAGTGGTTAAGAATCAACCTGCCAATGCAGGGGACATGGGTTCAAGCCCTGGTCCGGGCAGATCCCACATGCTGCAGAGCAACTAAGCCTGTGTGCCTAACTACTGGGCCTGCTCTCTAGAGCCTGCAAGCCACAACTACTGAGCCCACGTCCCACAACTACTGAAGCCTGCGCACCTAGAGCCCATACTCCGCAAGAAGAGAAGCCACCGCAATGAGATGCACGCACAGTGCAATGAAGAGTAGCTCCCACTCACTGCAACCAGACAAAGCCTGTGTGCAGCAACAAAGACCCAATACAGCCAAAAATAAATAAATAAAATAAATAAATTTATTTTAAAAAAAGAAAACTGGGCTTCCCTGGTGGCGCAGTGGTTGAGAGTCCACCTGCCGATGCAAGGGGACACGGGTTCGTGCCCCGGTCTGGGAAGATCCCACATGCTGCAGAGCGGCTGGGCCCGTGAGCCATGGCCGCTGAGCCTGTGTGTCCGGAGCCTGTGCTCTGCAACAGGAGAGAAAAAAAAAAAAAAAAAAAAAAAAAAAAAAAAAGGAAAACTAAAAATAGAATTACCATGTGATCCAGTAATCCCACTTCTGGGCATATATCTAGACAAAAACTATAATTCAAAAAGATACATGCACCCCTATGTTCATAGCAGCACTATTCACAGCAGCCAAGATATGAAACCACCTAAATGTCCATCGAAAGATGAATGGATAAAGAAGATGTGGTACATATAAACAATGGAATACTACTCAACCATAAAAAGAACAAAATGCCATTTCCAGCAACATGGATGCAACTAGAGATTATCATACTAAATGAGAAAGAGAAAGACAAATACCATATTATATCACTTATATATCATTATATGAATCTAAAATATGATACAAGTGAACCTACTTATGAAACAGAAACAGAATCACAGACATAGAGAAGAGACTGGTGCTTCCTAATGGGGAGGAGGGTGGGAGAGGGTTGGATTGGGAACTTGAGATTAGCAGTTGCAAACTGGTATATATAGAATAGATAGATGACAAGGTCCTACTGTATAGGACAGGAAACTATATTCAATATCCTGTGATAAACCATAATGGAAAAGAATATGAAAAAGAATGTCTATATATAACTGAGTCACTTACCTGTACAGCAGTAATAAACACAACATTGTAATTCAACTCTACTTCAATAAAAAAATAAAATAAAAAAATATAATGGAAAGAAGTAAAAAAAGATCAACTCTCTCGAACCCTCACCCCTAAAGACCAGGACAAAACCCAGAATTCTTAATTTTCTTTTAAAATTTCACTTATTTTCTAATACTACTCTTACAATTATTCAACCATATATATATATACATATATATATATATATGTATATATATATATATATATATTCCCTTTACATTTTCCCCAGTGTAGGTCAAATTCAGACTAGTAATTCGTTACCAGAAGTGTTTTAATTCTGTCATTATAAATCTTAAAGTACCAACATAAGAATTTATGAATCTTAAAGTACCAAGATAAGAATTTTAAAAATATTTTTAAGCAAGTAATTGATGGAAGCTTTAAAAATACTAATCTAGTCTATTTGAACACTGAAAGTTTTATTTTGAACCTCTTAGACTATGTAGCTATATAAAATGGCACAATAGCATAAGGTAGTTCCACTGCTCAAGCTTAACTAAGAAATTGGAATGATTCAACAATGTAATTCTAATTGCAGTCTTTCTGATCTATTAACTTTCAACAAATAAGGCAAGCTACTTAAGTTAAAAAAAATTACCTAAGCAAAGTTGATCTTTAGAAATAATGTTATCTAAGCTGCTTTTGAAAACAGTTAAGTAGGCAGCTCTACAATTCATATAAAATATCTCCTCTTCAGTTAGTGGAAATTTCTTTGATCGAGGACTCTCTGAAAGCATTGATTTCTGACTGGAGAAAGCTGCATCACTTCCTGGACTGATGGCCATTCTATTAGAAAATAATTTAAAATTTTATTTTAGTCAGTGTTAATCCTAAAATTCAAGTGTCACTTTACCTTTCAAACTGGGGCGGGGGGAAGCAAGACATCAAGATTTTTATATGTGGAAAAAAGATGTACATTATAATATGCATACAGTTATATTATCATATGTTAAGCTAAAATAAGCCTTTGGCAGTTGCTTTCTAAATATATATATAAGAGAGCCAAAAGAACAAAGCCAAAACAAAGGTGTAACATAAATACAAAAGAAGAATCACAGGGCAAAGGAAAAGCATTCATCTATTCTCTCAAAATTAGAGGACAGTCAGTTGAGACTCTTCATAGGGTTGTAATGAGGATTAAGTAAATTAACACATGTGAAACATATAGAACAGTGCCTGGCACATAATAAGTGCTAAATAAACTGTAGATAGAGTGAATCGCCACCATAATGAGAATTTGACTATAATGTGATTGGCAGTTGGCATCCATCTCCACAGCAGCATCAACCAGGTCATTTCACTAACATCTCAGTAATTCAGCCCCACATTTTAAATGACTGAATTAAAAAAATCAGGTCATTCATAGCATTATCCTGAGGTTTTACTGTGTTCTATTACTACCAATAATAATGTTAATAATAATAATAATAATCATAATTTTGAGGGTTTATATGGCACCTCTGCTCATAAGAGCTTAAAGAACTGTCATACATCTTGATTTATACCTACTACAGTGGTGAGATATTTTTTGCCCATTTTACAGATAAGGAAATTGAGAGACAGAGATGTCATCCAGCTAATAGTAAGTAGCAAAAGGCAGCAAATTTCGATAACAGTTTCTTCGTTTTTTTAATGTGAATGAAGGCTTCTTGTACAACAGTTACTATGAGGCCCTAAATTGTGCTGGAGGTCTAACAGCTTCCAAAATTATTTTAACCAGCTCTGACTTCCAAAAATACATTCCAACCTAATAAATTGAATATTTCAAGTTTAACAATAAGACGACACAGGTAGGGTCCCCTTCAGGACTCACTGGATTCTTACTCAGGAGACCTAAATTACTTGCACCTTCTTGAATTATATAGGTCTTTTACACTTGGGAAAGAAAGATAATAATCGCTTATCATGGATGAAGTACCCTATTTATAATACACAGACCGCCTGCCTGACACTTTCATCTTACACCAGATTTAGAAGGACCCCGAAGGTATGTGGTGTCACAGTCTGGTTACTGCAAATTGTTATCGCTATAATTAAGCATCACAGTTTTAAACACATACGCATGCACACATCTCCTCACAAATGTGAAAGAAAACTGTTCCAGTAAGGAAGGGAGAATGAACGTTCGTTTTGCAGCCAGCAATTTAAAAATGTAAATATTTTCTTAAGAGTGTCCTCAAATGCTCTTTCAAAATAAGGTGATTCCCTCACGTGGAAATCCCATGGCTTAAATGTTCCAGAATGCTATTTTTTCCCCTCTCTGTAACGAGAGACTAAACTGAAGCTTAAATATATAATTAAATATATAATTGCGCCCCTCAGGCTTGGAAACCTCCTGCACCTAAAACTCCAGCCCAAGACCAAGACAAGGGCCTAGAGAGTACATTGCAGCGAACCGCTCCATAAATAAGCAGCCACACAATAGCAAGAAAAATAAACTGTGAACAAGCACCTAAGGCTTCTAAAGGGCCAAGGGAAAACAGCCATCCAGTCACCGTCCCTACATAGTAAAATACCTTCACAGCTGATCTCCGGCAACATCTATTTTTTTGTATTCCTCTGGGAATAAAACTGCATTTATATTTACATTTTTAGGTACAGACATGGAGCAAGTGTACGTATGGCAGAGAGATAAAAGATGCAGGTGGCGAAAGGGAAGCCGAACAGTGACGAACAGAGCGGGCGAAGAGACAGACAGCGAGCTGCTTGCTACCTAACTGCAGGTCACAAACGAGGAAGCGCAGCCAATTCTCCTCAAGGATTCCGCAACCCTCTCACGGCGGCCGGAAGGTCCTTGGCCTTCTTTTAATTACCGTGGCAACTGCACCTCTCCGCTACCGGAAACAAGATACGGAGTACCTACCCAAATGGTCCGGCTAGAAATCTAGGGATAGTTACTCCAGCGCTAACGGAGATGGCTCTGCCTCTCATCTATCGGGGGCCTTCTGGTCAGAGTCGTGAGAGAGTGTCCTGCGTTGCCCTGGCAGGGACTGAGAGCTGTCCTAGGCGTAGACTCTCGTCCCCACTTCCCGGCATACACTGGGATCCCTTGTAGCTGGGGGAGTGTTTCCGGCGGGCCGCGTGGAGTGTGGCACAGCGTCGAGTGACCGCCCGCTCTTTTCAGGCTCCAGTGTTTCTCTCCGAAGGTTCTCTGTTTTCGTAAGAGGTTGCTCAGTGGTTTTATCCAGTGACAGGGGTGCGTCCCTGAATGTCGAAATGCCGTAAGTATCTCCGCCCCGGGTGTTGCTGTGTTTGGGCCCCAATGTGAGCAAGAAGAATAGATATTATGCAGCTCAATAACCTTTTCTCTTTTCCTACTTTTTCTTTATCTTTTCCTCCGACAGTTCCTAGTGCTTGGTTCCCTCAACCTACGTCTGCTTCCCTTCCAGCCTTACTTATCCGGTAGTATTTCTCCACTTTAATTCTGATTCCACAAGGCTTCTGACAGATTTTATAGGCTGTGGGTTATATTTAGTGATGTATTGCTTGAAATAATTTCAAATATGGTTAACATACCGAGAATAGGACAGGGTAGACTGCATAACGCCGTATAATTTGATAAAGCCATTTAATGCCTAGATTAGTGTCGTGAGCTCATATAAACTTGTGGCAGAACTCATGGACCGGGTCCCAAGAGACCTGAACTCCAGCTCTCAAATGAGGAAGCATAGCCAATTCTGTAAAGAGCTGTCCAACGTTGAGCGAGTCGCTTAATCACCTCCGGGCTTCAGTTTTCTTGCTTGTCACTGCCCAATAGAGACTTTTTTTTTTTTTTTAAGCTCCGTAAAGAACTTTTTCTTTGGGGTGGGGGTGGGGATAATATATAACACATGAAATTCTCTGGCTGCCTCTTGTCCCCAGGCCGATTTAGGTACCCTCTCTTGCGTGCTTCTAGAGTAACTTATTTCTCCGTTACATTCAGGTTTGAGCAAATGCAAAGTAACACAGGGTGGGAGAAGGGACATCTGTATCAAATAGGAATTGACATGAAAGTGGAAAGATTTGCAGAAATAATAACCTACATTTGTTGAATGTTTAATTATGATTTGGGTACTGTGTTTAGCAATTTCCCTACATTTTCTCATTGAATCTTAAAAAGGACCTTGGGAGGTAGGCGCTGCTGTTATCTCTACTTTCCAGATTAGGGAACTCAGCACCTAATAAGGTGTCCTACACATAGGTATCAATAAATATATGTTTCACTTATACCCTTAAAAGGTATGGATTGTTAAAGAGGTTTTCCTTTCCCCAAAATGAAGCTAAAAGACTTGCCTCACTACTCTTGCACTAGAAAAATAACCCAGTTAGCACTTATACAAAGCTGTGAGGAAAGTGTAACAAAGTCCCTGCCAAATAGGAATACAATGGAAACTCTTGTGTGTTTGCTTAACAAGTAGTGATACTTTCTGAACTATGCTCCTGTTCTGCTGTAGATAGTAGGGAACCCAAAAAAACCTGTTAAATGGGGACCTTTTGGACAACTGTTTTCTTAACATATTAACAGACACATATTAGGAGTGTCTGCAGTAATTTTGGCAATAAATACATAACTTTAAAGTTGAGGTTGACATCTTAAATATATAGCAACTTCACTGAGTTTATTTTGGCAAAGTGATATAAGACCAAATTAATGGTTAAATAATGCAGAAGTATTTTAGTAGAGGATCTCCATAATTGTTAGTAAACTTTTATTTTTCAATGTGGTTAAACTGCAGGGTCACAAATGGTGGTGCAAAAAGTCATCTTGGCAAGTTACATGTGAAAGTGGTATGGTTTTTAAGTGATGTTGAGATGTTGACTTTTTGGTACTTGGTATTTTGGGTATTGGATTGTGTGATATATCTCTTTTCTAATTTCTTTAAACCTTGACAGGAAAAAAATATAATGAGTAACTGTGGAAGTATACATGGCCTAAATTAATCTAAAATGAATAATAAACAACAAATGTCCAATACCAATAGAGTGGATGGACGAATCTTAAAAATATACTGGATGAAAGAACCAATTTGTAGAAAACTACATATAGCATATTATCTTTATAAAGCTTAAGAACAAGCAAAAAAACTTTAATTTGGGATTCTGTATGTATATAAGATTATTAAGGGAAGAAAAACAGGGAAATGATAAATACAAAATTTAGTTTAATGGTTGCCTTCTCGGGAAAGCAGACCTAATAGAGAAGGAGCAGAGCATACAGGTGTACCCATCCATATTGGTAATGATCTAGTTCTTAAATTGTGTGGTGAGTTTATGGGTGTTTATTTTCTTATTATGCTTCATAACTTGATCATTATACATGTATTCTTTAGTATGCATCAAATACTACTTAAAATGTTTTAAAAGGATTTAGAGATTACTTATCTTGAATTAAATTCTCAATAAGTATAGTTTTCTCTGCCTTCTCTTTGGTTCTATAAGGCAGATGCTATCTGAGAACGGGGAAAACAAATGAATTGGATAAATGCTCTCCTGGTTTCATTAGGCTAATCATCATCCCTTTCAAATTTGCTCCTCCTCTGTGTACATTATAAAATTAGTGACATCGTCATTTCTCTATCTAGGTTGAAACCTTAAATTTTTTTTTTATTTTTATTTTTTGGATTTGAAGACTTTGAAATGAGACAAACCAGGGTTTGAATTTTGGTTCTGCTACTCTACCAGCTGTGTGACCCTTAGATTGTTACTCAGTGAGTTCATGGATTAGTATAGTTACTCATTAAATAGTAATTGAATTATAAAGTTGCTGCTTGTAAGAGATTTCATCTTTATAGACAAATTTCACACCATGTTTATATTTGCATAATACTAAAGTCAAACATACTTTTGTAATAGCTCTTTCTGTAAATAATCAAATCCCCTTCTAGTGCTTTTTCCCCCCTTATATTTTTTCCTTTATAAAGATTCCCAGTATCACTTGCTTAATCTTTCTAATTAGTGTGAATTATCATGCTAATTCAGCCAAGGGCATTCCACCTATTCCTGTAAGAGTTAATTTTATTCTGTTCCAAGCTAGAGACTGAATTAAGGTTATAAAGTTGGAATAGCTTTAGTGTTGGAGGAAACAGTTAACTGTATTCCTCTGGGGTCCATTCTGATGACGTATTCATAAAAATCTGGGAGTTTTCTGAGAGAACATTAAAATACGTTTTATTTTCCTTGATAAAGGAAAATGAATATAAGAATATTCTGGGTTTGATAAGCTATTTTATTGCACCTATTTGGGTTTGTAGTCAGGCTGGTGATAGCACCAAGTACAATGATTTTTATTGTTGTGGGGGGTGAAATGATGTGTCAGGTTAAGTAAAAGTTAACCATTTAATAAACACCCTTTGAATCATAGATATTCAGAGTTCTATTAATTCATTTACTTTAAAAGTATAAATACATTTTAAAAGAAGATTGAAGTTGTTAGTACTTTCTGTAAGTATGAAAAACATGAATTTTAAATGCAATTCTTTCCTGCTTGTAAAAGTCAGCCAAAAAAGTAAGGACAGAAATGAGGAAGCTATAATACAGCCTTGTAATAGTGACATGAAGGACTCCCCTCATATGGCAGACAAGAATCTCTCAGACTCTATCAGTCAAAAGCAACTTGACCCTGCATAAATCATATTTTTTATTGCATCCTTGGACTTGGAGGAAGTTAAATCTCAAGAGGTGAAACAAAAATAGCCAAAACCAGATCTGTAATCAGTAAGCACAGATGAAAGGCAGATTGCCCTGAATATAAATACTGATATCCATGTTGTGCTTGATAGACTAAGCCTGGGGCTATAGGCAAGGTAAGGAAGTTAAACTTGAGACTACATTTAAGCTGGGAAGGGAGCTGAAATGATCTCTAGTTGGTATGGATCCCTTGGCTAGTAATGAAATTAAATGTACATCTTTGGAGGAAGCATCCTCTGTTTAGGCCCCTCCTTTTTCACAGATTAAGATCAACCAAATATCCAAAATCTAGATAAACAAGCATAAAAGGAAACAAACTACCATGAGTGAAAGTTAAAACACATAGTAATCAATGGATTTAGATCCCAAAGACTTTACAAAATGGAATTATCTGAGATACAATATGAAATAATTGAACAGAATACTTAAATAAAAAGTTGAATCACAAAAATTAGCAAGTAATGAGACTACCCAAAATAACAAGGCAAATTTTAAACTAGGATGATTAAAATGTTTAGAAACAAAAAATATATAATTGTTGAAATAAAAGCTCAGTAGATGGGCTTTCATGTTACAGTAGATTGTGTTGAACTGAACCTTCCATAGATAACAATTTTAAACTCTGGGCAAAATATTAAAAGTAACTTCTTGAAGGCACTGGAAAGCAACCATACTAGGCAGAAATTGGAGGGGAGTTGACGCTTGAAAGAAGGGAACTACAATGTGCAAAGTTTGCATTTATATTGTTTTATCCAAGGGCAGTCCATATGATGTAGTACAGCTAGAACTCAACAAGAAAGCTCCAGTTTTACTTGTTAACTGGGTTAAGAGCTTGGGATTACCAGAATTGCTGGCAAGTAAAGGGAAAATCCTAAAAAGAGGGTAGCCCCAAAATCTGGTTATAAACTGCCAGAATCCTTGATGGATCCCTTAACTGCACATGGATTAGGGATTCTTCATGAAGCCTGGCAAGAAGCAACAGCTGGGATGCTGAAAGACTTGAACAGTGATTTCAGCTGCTGTCCATCACTGGGGAGACAGATTTTAGAGTTTGAGTTTATTCAAGTTAAATGCCTGCTAGAACAAAACAACACTGTTAAGAGTAAGAAAGCAGAATTCAGAGTCTCGATGTCATATCGTCTACAATGTACAAGATGCAATAAAATAATACGAGACAAGCAAAGAAACAAAATATGACTCGTTGAGAGAGTCAATTGAAATTGACCCCAAGATGACCTAGATTTTAGAATTAGCAGACAAAGACTTTAAAGCACCTAATATAAATCTGTTCAAGAACTTAAAGGGAAAAAAAAATGGTCATAATGAAAGGACACATGGGGAATTTCAGAAGAGAAAAAGACGCAATGGAAATTCTGTATTTGAAAAGTACAATACGTAGAATGAAAATATTTACTGTGTGGGCTTTACAGCGCAAGAAAAGAACTTGAAGATAGAATAATAGAAATGATCTAATTGAAAAAATAAAATACAGAGCCTTAGTGACTTCTGGGACAATATCAAGTGGTCTAATATATGTAAGTAGAGTCTTAGAAATAGAAGAGAATGGGAATGAAATTAAAAATATATGTATTTTAAGAAATAATGGCTCCTAAATTTCTCACTTTTGCTGAAAAACATAAAGTACAGATCCAAGAAGCTCAGCAAACTCCAGTCGAGATGAAAAATATGTGTTTGTCTATGCACATGTACATATACATGCCATAGTCAAACTGATAAAAATGAAGTGAAAATCTTCAAAGCAGCCAGAGAAAATTGATGCTTTACCTGTAGGGGAAACTATTCAAATGAAAGCTGACTTCTCATCAGAAACCATGGAGGTCAGAAGACAGTAGAATGACATTTTAAAGTGCTAAAAGGAAAAAAACCTCAACCCAGAATTCTATATGTAGACACTATCCTTCAAAATGAAGGTAAAATAATGATATTATCAGATAAAAACAGTATTTGTCACCAGCAGACCTGCATAGAAGAAATGCTAAAAAAAAGTTCTTTGAGCTGAAGGGAAATGATATCAAGTACAAATTTACATCTATTTGAAGAATACTGGGAATGGTAGATATGTGATAAGATATAAAAGACTATAGTTGTCCATCAGTATCTGTGGAGGATTGGTTCCAGGAGGCCCCACTTATACTAAAATCACACAGATTTTATGCTCAAGTCCCTTATATAAAATGGTATAGTACAATGAAAACAGTTGGCCCTCCGTATCTGAGGGTTTTCTCTCCACAGAGTCAACCAACCATGGATGGAAATCTTGATCCACAGATGTGAAACCCATGAATATGGATGGTTGACTGTATGTTTATCGAAAAAAAATCTGTGTATAAGTAGACCAGCACAGTTCAAGTGCATGTTGTTCAAGGGTCAACTGTGTATGTTTTTTGCTTGTAACTTCTTGAATAGATGTGAGTGTTTAAAGCAAAAATTATAACACTTATTGTGGGTTTTATAACATGTATATGTATAACAGTATAGCACAAAGGACAAAGGAAATGGACAGTAACATTGTAAGATTCTTATATTTATGTAAAGTAGTATTGTATTAACTCTAAATGAACTGTGATGTGTTAAAAAGGCATATTGTAATGCCCCAGAGTAACTAATAAAAAATACACAGAAAAATAATACATAACCCCCAAAATACATAAAAACAACAGAAGAATTGAAGTGCTATACTAAAAAATGTTTAATCAAAAGAAGGCAGGAAAGGAAGATCAGAGGACTAAAAAACAAATGAGACAGATAGGAAACAAGTAGCAAAATGTAGACCCAACTGTATAATGATTACATTAAGTTTAAGTGCAATAAAGACACCAATGAAAAGGTACAGAATATCAGGCTGGATTTAAATATATAGAGAGTAACGTATATATATGTTTATATGTATATATCCCAACTCACTTAATCCTCATAACACTGATACTACCCTAACTGGATACCAAAATACAATAACAGAATTATAAGAACATTGCTGGCCAATGTATTTCATGAACATAGAATCAAAAATCCTCGGCAGAAGATTAGCAAATCTAATTCAGCAGTTGTAAAAGAGACAATACATCATGTCCAAGTAGGAT